TCAGCAGGAGGAGTGCCGTAGGTGCTCAGTCCAGTTGCTTTATTGATGTATATCGTCTTACCTGACGAAACATCAAAATCTTGGATCCAGTCAGACCACAAATCATTCCTGGGATCACCTGTGCTTGTGTTGTCTGCAGAGAATCCCAAGCTACTTGGGAGGGTCATATGGGCAACGTCAGTATATTTCAAATTTTGTTCTGAGGATTCATCTAATGTACTTTTATCTTTACAGATGATGTTAGTACAATCCTTTTTAGCAGGCAATGATAAAACACTGCTTGAAGAGATTGTGTACTCCCCTTCTATGCTGAGTGGTGATGGGCTGACAGGACTTTTCCTGAGCTCTGCTGTCATACCATCTGACTGTGAGCATGAAACCCCCTTCAAAATGCTGTCATTACATTCCTTCATATTTTCCACTGAGGATTTATATGTTTGACAAGCATTGTACAAAAAATCATTATTTGAAGATTCAAGTTCAAAACAGTAGTCCTCTTTTCTACTTGAATCTGTTTGGAAGTGTTCACCAAGTTGTCCTCCTTCCTTGTGGTCACTTTTTATTCTGGACAGTTTGGATGATAATGATTCTGGAGATCTTCTACAAGTTATGTATTTTTTACTAACTTGAGAATAATCAGAAAAAGTCAAAGGACTCTGAAAAAGGACTCGTTTGTCCTGTGAAGTTTCTCCACTGCAGAATAAAGTACCTTCCAAAGAATCAAACATGTGGCTACTAGTATAAGAATCTGTACCTTCCATAGTTGGGGCTTCACAAGTGCTCACACTACCACGGTTGTCATTCTCATTCTTTGAAGAGTCACAATTAGCTTGCAAATTAAAAACACTCTGCTCTGACAATGGTGCTGGTAGCGTACACTTGACCCTCCCATAGTATCTTCTGAACTTGTCTAATGATCCCAGCTGTGTGCACAAGCTCAACTTCTTTGAGGGCTGAGGTCTCGGCACAGCTATTTGTCTTCTAGTGCTTTTTATAACTTTATTGTGAGGGATACCTGAAGAAGCTGCGAGTGGCAATTCTGCAACGTTCAATGTCTCACAGTGTCTTTTACTGGTGGCAATAGACAGAGCTGTCCCCTCAGTCACCTGATTAGACACAGTTTTGTTCTCTAACTGCTTGTTACCATCAGCCACGGATACTTCTCTGGTGTAAGCAGGTGTGTGCTTTTTACTTGTATTACTGGAAATATCCCTAGCATTTAAAGACTGACTTGGAAAGTTCACTTTGTGGCCAAAAATACCCTTGGCACTGGTAGGGCCAGGTCTACGCTGTGTGTTTAATGCAAGATTTGTTTCTGTTTTTTCACACTCATGTGGGGGCTCATTTTGGACAACATATGTTCTGAGGCCTGTAGAGCACAAAGTCAATGGTCTTGAACTAGCAGCCCCTCTTCTACCACCATCTATGGTGTCAGCAGTTTCCCTGTCTCCTCTTCCTGCATTACACGGTCTCAGCAGAGAACTGCCAGAGACAGTTCCTATCACTGTTTCACTAGAGTCTTCACTCTCAGATGGCGGATGAGCATCATCATTACTGAAGATACAGATCCCACTGCTCTTCTGCACTACTTTGCCTTGCTGCCTTCCCACATCTTTTATGTAATTCTCTGTCCAATGTTGCAGCTCAGCACCACTGTCTACTTTTCTTGTTTCTGATCTGGCCCCTCCACTGAAAGAGGAACAAAGATTTGCTGAAGGTTTCAGATCAGATGCTTTTGGGGAACTGTTGGTGTCTTTTGGCTCCTGCTCAGAGATATTTGATATAATGACATCAGAAGCTGTGTCACCTTTGCTGGGCAGTGGATTCTGTGCTATGTTGTTTCCACATGGATCAGATGGTTCACCAGTCTTCTGACTTGGGGTGATTTCAGTTTCCTGTAGATTTTTATTTGACTCCGTAAGATTTGAAGATTTTTTTTCAGTCACAGATTTCCTTTTGACATCTTTTGATTGCAAGTTACACATTTCATAAGAATTCACAATTTCATCACATGCTTTCTTAAAACTGTCTTGGATGCTCTTCCCATCATAGAGTGAGGGCTTCAGAACTGGAGCATTACACAAACAAAAGTCATTATCTTCATTAAATTCCCTGATGTCCTCATTACATGGCTCAATAAATAAATATTCTCTTTTCAAAAATATTTTCACTCCTTCCTCTATGAAAGTTAGAAGGACATCCCAGTTCTGGAACTCAATTAGAGTTTTTGCAGGTTCCAGACACACATCATAGTCACTGTACGCACAGATCACATTGAGAATAAAGATCCCGTACAACTCTGGGCCACAACGAGGGCGACCAGGACTTGAACTAGCCTGTCTGCTCACAGGGCCAGTTTTTGCCTTGCAAATGACACTTTCCTTTCTTAATAAAAAATCAATTAGTTTATGTATTCTTGTCTTTAAAACAAGCCTTTTATTCACATACAAGAACTGCATATTCTTGTTGTAATGTCCTTCAATACTGATATAACCACTTAGTTCAAATCCTCCAGACTTATGATTTATTTCTCGTAACTTCTGTGATCTGCCCAGTCCAAAAATTTGACAAAACCGAGAACACACATCTTTTGTTTTAGGGAGCTGAAGCACCGTAGAGCAAGAAGTGTCATTCCTTAAGGAAAGTGAAATAGAGGGATGCATCAGCGAAATAGCCTCTACTTTCTGTCTGACCCTCTCAAATTCCAACACAGGATCCATACACTTTCTCCTCACTGGTAACTGATGGAACAGATTACATACAGTCACTGTAGTTCCGCCACTTGGTCTGCTCAGTTCAGCTTCGCAGGCTTCCAGTGCTTGCCCATTGTGAAATAGTTTCACAAACGTTTTTGCTGTCCTGCTGGTCTTAGATGAAACTTCCACTACACTGGCCATGTTGGCTATGCTTGCTACAGCCTCCCCTCTAAAGCCATAGAAGGTCAGGTTCTCAAGGTCTGCCACTGAGCTGCACTTGCTGGTGAAGTACTGCTTTCCCATTGCATTTAAGTCCTCTCTCCCCATTCCGGAGCCGTTGTCCACCACCTGGATCTTAAAAGCTTCCAAATCCACCCGGATAGCTATACATGTTGCTTTGGCATCGATACTGTTGAGGACAAGCTCCTCAACACAATGCCCCAGCGAGTTGATAGTCACTCCAGAACGCAGCCTGGCTCGCACATCTTCCACCAAACATTTAATCATGTCAAAACCAGACAGATGAGAAGCTCCAGAAACTGCAGGGAGCTCACTTCTCCATGTTCCTTAAAGCAACTCCCTGGGTAGAGAGAGAGCAAAAAAACCCCATAACAAATTAAAAGGTCTGAAAAAAACCCTTCAATTAATGCATTCACCCTGATAAAAACACTTTTGTCAGTTTTCCTGGTATTTGAGGGTTCTTCTGTGATTATTTTCCTGCTCAGTCAGGGTGAATGACTACAATGTGCACCTACGCTCTGAACTAACAACACGTGTGACTCTCAGATGTAACACACCTAAACCAAACCCTAACCTCGATAAGGTTAAACTCAAACGACCTGCAAACAACAGGCTGTATTGGTATCACAAGTACACAGAAGGCTTCGCCAAGAACCAGGCGCTGCCTTCCTCTCGCTTTGAGCCCATTCTGCTCACATGAACTCCCCGCGCCTCTCCCTGGCACGGGTGCGGGACAGTGAGCATGCGGTGCGTGTGACAGGAAGCCTGCTGTTTCCCGGTCCTGTCCCCGGTAACTACCGGTTTCTGCAGCGCTGCAGGAGCCGCTCGCCCCCCTGCGGACCCGCC